GTGTTTTTATTGGAGAGCCATAAAGTCACTGGTTTTAGCTCACCAGTCCAAAGGTGGGTGAAGGACTCCTGGCTGCTCCTGTCTCTTGGGGTGTGGGAGTTCCCCACCCTGGTGTCCTGCTTTGAAAGGGTCCCGACAGTACTGCTTGTTGATGTGGAAGCTATCCAGCATGGGACTTCAGTCAACGGATTGATTGTGATTATTACAGCCCAAAGATAAGTTTATAGTTGTATTGGTTGTGCCCCATCATGCTCCTAATTATGCTGTAGTGGATATGGTTCTCTGGAACCAAGTGACAATATATATATGGGAATTAGTCTCCGTTGACCCTTTCACCTCTCTGTTTTCATGGACTTATCCTGCATTCTTTGGTACCAGAATGTCATTGCATTCAGTTAGAAGACTAAATTGCTCTCCCATTCTTAAATATGTGTGCAAAATATTTAGATTGGTGAAACTGACTTTGTTGAACAAAACAGCTCTTCAGTTGGTGTAACTGGCATGATTTTAGAATTCTAGCATTATATAATGTTACCAAAAATTCCAACTGATATATTCCATGTTATAGATTCTGCATCTCTCATCGGCAGCAAAGTCAATTTCAATGTGTGTGAAAAGATATTTCAGATATTTGGACCAAATGCAAAAAAAAAAGAGATCCTACAGAAGTTTGCTTTTCTCTGCTGTGAACTAACCTACTGCTTCTTGTGTTACATTTTGGCAGTTGCACATCCCTCTCCATTTAATGAAACACACATCTCATTGCAATGTTATCTATTAATTTCACAGTTTTGATAGGACAGCATCTGTTTCTGGTAATTGACCATTTCTTGTTGAAATACCTATGACTTTCTTACCTGTTTTAGTGCTGGGTTCTAAAATTGCTTATTTTAGTTTTAATACCAGTTCTTGTGATACAATTTGTAACAAAACTGTAATGGCACTGTTGTTTAGAATGAAACTGCGTGTTATAATATTACAAGCATTGAAAAAAATGGAGTAAAAAAAGTTCATTTTCACTGTCAATAATTTATGAAGTGCAAAGAAATGATGAAATTTACATCCATGCTGACTCAGAAGTCATTTACTAAGGTAAAATTTTGGACACTGAACCTGAAGATTTGATTTTCGTCAGAATGGTGGAACAGATTTTCCTTTAAATATTTGAATACATTTCTTAGGCAAACATTTGTTTCTCAGGTATCTCAGGTAACCATAATGAGAACTGTAGCCTTTGTGGAAAATAGTAGCTTCTCAAAAGAAGACAAAGAGTCTGATGTGTTCATGTCCCAGTCCTGGGCTCTGGGAAGATCTTTTATTCAGAAACCTGAATAATCTGTGGTGTTGTAATGCCTCAGTTTCGTGGAAGTTTTAGTCACCTGAAATCCCACCTTTTTTGTTCCTGCCTGTAAATGTTGACAAGGTGCCTGTGTCAGAGATGGGTCATGGCTAGCATGGGAGATGCCAGCAGAGACACCTGCAACTTCTGCTTTTTAAGAAGTGTCGCAAGTTTGGTCCCAGGTAAAAGCAGCTACAAAGCAGAGGGGCTCTTCAGAACTGATACTACAGAAAACCATGGTTCCTTACCTGTTTTTAATTTTTAATCACCCACAAGAAGGTCAGATTGCTTCAAGGACAGCTGTGCAAGCTGGTGATCCTAACAGTGCCATCATTTCCTCTCCCTCCTCCTCTGCCCCTCTTTTACTCCTCTGCTCTCACTGATGGAGTGACGTTCTGTGCTCATGTGGCAGGAGTAAATGGGCCTCGCTTTTATTTTAAATAGTTTATTTGGTAAAGTTATCTGTGTAAACTAATGCTTAGTTTAGTTAGTTGTTTCAGTTTTACAATACTTTTTTTTTTCTTTTCCTACAGCTGAACATCTACAGGTTGATGCAGATGGGGAGAACTAAAATTGTTAAGATTTAATCTCTGTTGGGTTTTTTTTTCTGGAATAATTGATGTTTTTTACTGTTTGTTTCTGCTGGCAGTGGAGTTGAAATCATGCTAATACCCTTTCAATCTACAACTAAATGACAACACTTTCAAAGCATACTGGATAATATGATTTTCTTTCATGGGCAAGCATCCTTCATTCTCCTTTTAATTTTTAATACTTTGTCAGATCATGGTTTCCTCAAGGAATAAAACCCCCTCGTTTTCAGAAAAGGTTGAGTTGCTTGGTGAAGTTTTTCTTGGAAGATGTGGCTGGTAATGATGCAGTGTAATATGAGAGTAAGAAATTCCTTTAGCTTTAAAAAATGGTATTGTGAGTGCACATTAAATGATCAGAAGGCCCAGACTCCAATTCTTTCAAGCCCTGTGTATCAGGCAAAGTACAAAAAAATTGTAACAAGTTCACTCACAACTGGTAAGCTGGAGGTTATATGGACAGTTACCTGCACAGATCCAGCTCTACCTAAGCTATGCTGATAACCAAGGCTCAGAGATTTGCATGGAAAGGAAGGTGCACTCCCTTCCAGCTGCCTCCTGCCATCCTTCAGTCACACCAGGCTGAGCCCTGCAAGGTTATGGGACAGGGCTCACTGTCCTTAGTGAGCTGTGGCTGCTGAGAGTTAGTCTTCATATCATAGGAAGTGTGCCAGTATAATTTAACCAAGAAAAAATGATTTTGTACTCCTGCTTTTGCCACTGCCTATTGACTTTCTTCCAGATTGTGACTCTGAATACATATACGATAGGTTCATTTTCAGTTATTCTGTTGTTAGCCTAAAGAATGTGGTGTAGTGGTGTAAAGGTAAAAAAAAAGGTTTACTTTCTCAGTGAAATGTGCACATGAATAAAGGGTGAAAATGTGGGAGGCTATTGAATACCTAAGAGTACAGACTATGACTTTTTGGCAACACTGGATGTGTTTGATGATGGTGTAATGCTGGGAAATGTGTGTTCACATTTGCAAAGGAGTTCTGGGAAACTTTACTGTATATTCCCTAATCGTTGGTCAGAAATAATTTAGGGAGTTCTTAAAACCATCCCTAAATTTATGTATGTTCTTAATTGTCACTGATATGCAGAACACTTAGAGAAATCAAACCAAAGCAAAGAATGCATGAAGTCCTTACTGCTAGCTGAGGGTTTTTTCTGCTTGTGTGAACCAGGAAGGTTTTTTCAATAAATGGTTAACACAGAAAAAGCTACAGGCATTTTTGGCTTTTTTTGAGGTATTTTTTAGGTTCTTTCCTCTGCCCACAGTTCTAAGGATCACAGAGGCTTTTAAAAAAAACTGTAGTGGTTTTTTTTATTATTATGACAAAGCAATTTTTTCATCAATTAAAAAAATTACATCATGTTTCAACCATAATGTATTGCTTTACCTCCTTCCTGTCAAAATATATTGTTGTATAGTTTCCTTCAGCATAGAGAAGAATACAAGTAGTTTTGAGTAGGTCTGGATAAACTGTGGTGCATGTGTCTTTTTGTATGTGTGTATGTGGTGAGAGACTCTGTAGATATAGTAAAAGTGTTACCAAATAAACCAGCCTGTGATAATGTGTCCTGCAGCAACTGGTTTACATCCAAAAGAGGGCAAAATTTACTTGCAAAATGCATTGAAATACTATGAAAATGTCATCTTCCCTTACACTGTTTAAGCAATTATGCTGCTCACTCTAACAGAGAAATTTAAGCAGTTACAGGGTACAATATTATTTGTAGGTAAAAATTCACAACAAATTATGTATTTTGTGGCAAAAGAGATTTGCTCACAAATTAATTTTAGGATCTGAGCACAAAAATCTAGAGGGTCTGGGCACCCAGTAGTCATGAAGGGTCCTTGTCTGTCAAAGTTTTCTCATATAAATGACTTTGTTGAAACAGGATGTGGGTCTCTAAGGTTTTAGCAGTCTCAGCTTCTATTAGAAAATTTTGGCTATGGAATAGGGACCTGTGGGGAGAAGTAAAAGGTTGCTTTGTACTTCAACTTCCTACAAGTTTTATGACTGAATCCTATGAAGCTGGTTTTCCATGGGAGAAAAAAAAAAGTATCTGGTTTTAGGTTTTCTTTCCTTCTATTTCTCCTTTTAATAATTGAAAACTACTGTTCATTATTTACATAAAACTGTCTCACTTGAGCCTGCTTTCCATAACCTTTTCCCTCGTAAGAATTCTAGGAATTTGCTGGCTTTCCTCAGGGGGATCTTGGCCATGTTTTATCTGTGACTTTAGGCGAGATAGTTGGTAATTTCTACAAAGTAACTTACTATGTTTAAATTGCATTTGTCTCTGCATAGATTTCTCATTTGAGCACATTTCAAGAAATAATGTACATAGAAGAATATGCATTTTAATACAATGTTCAGCCTTCTTGGTAACTGGCAATCAATCTCCACATGTAAAATGGAAAGCCCTTTGGAAAAAAATACTAATAATGCAAACCCCTAAATGCCCAGAAGGCAAAGTATTTCAGCTGTTTTTCTAAGACTCTACCACTTACTGTTTCCCTTTTTGACTCCTGGCTTGCTCTTTTCTTTTCTTTTTTTAAAATGAGGACGTGTCAGAACCGGAGGCCTTGAGCCCTGTATAAAGTGACCCCGGCGCAAACCTCCAGCATTCCTCATCTTTCCCTCTCTGCAGCTGCTAACATCAGCCAAGGCAGCACGCAGGCCTGGCTGCCGCCAGCTTCCTGGCTCTCTCCCTTCCTCCTCCCTTCGCGCCCTGCTCCCCTTGCCAGTGCCGTCAGCGCTGCTTCGTATTAGGCACCGTTGCAATTATTTCAAATCTCGAGTACAAGAGCTGTTGTTGTGTCCCTTCAGCTGGTATCAGCTACCAGAGGGCAAGGTGTGGGAAGGAAAGGGCTTTCTTCAAAGTGTTGTTTCTCTTGGGTGAATTGCTGTTTAGGTGTTTCATCTGACATATTCAAGTAGATATGATTTGAAAGTCACCTGGAGAATACATGGGGTTCTTTAGGTAGAATCATATTTCCTGAATGGTGGCTTCTCACATATTCATTTTCTAACTCGTTCTTTCATGTCCATCTACCACAGGACATTTCAAAGATGGTTTGGCTGCCATTGAGACCTGGAGATCTGATGCCACAATGAGGACTCACACACGGGGAGCCCCAAGTGTGTTTTTCATACACGCGGTTTGCTTCGCCTTTGCCTGCGGCGCCAGGGAGGACCAAGACACGATGGTTCCTTTTGTCAACGCCAACTATGACAGCTATCCCATGCTCTACTTCTCCAAGGGGGACATGGAGACCCTGCGGCTCCAGGCCAGCACCACGCACCAGCACATTGCGGCTCGGCTGATCAAAGCAGTGCAAACCATGCTGTCAAATCCCCTGGAGTACCTTCCTCCCTGGGACCCAAAGGAGTTCAGCGCTCGCTGGAATGAAATTTATGGCAACAACCTCGGGGCCCTGGCAATGTTCTGTGTGCTCTTCCCTGAAAACATGGAGGCCATCAACATGGCTAAGGATTACATGGAGAGGATGGCGGCTCAGCCTAGTTGGTAGATTTTTGTCTTTTTTTTTTTAAAGTTATTCTTACTGTATAAACTGCTTGCACTTGGAGGAGTGAGTGTATAAGTGAATTACTTAAATTATATCAGTTGCACTAATATTCATTTTAACAGTGACTAACTTGCTGAATGCATTTACCCTCCTCGGGACCAGCAGTGACCAGCAGTTTTCACCGTCACTGGACTTCTCTTCTTGAAAGTTGATGCTGAAAGGAACATGATTCTTTATGCACCACCTTGTTTGTGGTAAAAAACAAAACTAATCTAAACCCACTCTAAATCAGAAGGAAGAGTTTCACATCTGTTTTGTAGTAAGAAGTGCTAAAAATGTTACTTCAAAATTTTTTTTTCCTCCAACTCCATACAGATCTTTTGGGTACTAGTTCTTCCTTAGGAAGAATATAGGAAAGGGGGACCTATGAAAAAGGTATAATTTGGTCTAGGTAAAAATGACACTCTTGGGCTTCTGCAGTCTGCTCTAACATCCGTCTGAGCTATAGTTCAGGCTGGCAGCTTCACTTGGCAGCATGGTTCTTGGGCCTCTCCTTAAGATATACTAGGACATGATCATTGTCCATCTGATTACTGGAAATGCCTGAGTAACTGGTATTTTGATGACCACTTCTGGATTAACTTCATTTGGATTTGAGTTGTCATCCCTACAAGTTGCTCTGTCTTCTCTGTGCCACACTCTTTCTATGGGAACAGAAGTTAATGTTCTCACTATAAGAGTGATTCTAGAGTTGAGACCCCAAAGTCTCCTGCTTTTCATACCCACCTGCAATTTATCTCCTCTTTTTGCTCAGGCAGATGCATTTCCCCTACATCCCTGCAGCAGCTGCCACTTGGTACGCCTTGCAGACTATGGTCCAGGATTGCTATCACTGTGGATAGGTCAGAGGATGGGAATGTGGGCTTTGCCAGGAGGGAGGCAATTGCCCAGGGCAACGAGATAGGGCTGGATGGGGCATGGCTCCCTTCCTACAGCTCTGTGGTGACAGCAGCTCGGCAGAAGTGTGAGTCAAGATTCAAGTCAGCACAGGAGGAGAAGCATCAGCTGTTCAAGCAGTGTTCATTGCTCAAACTACTATTCCTTACCCTCTGGTAACCATCTAGTAGTATCCTATAAATGTTATCATTCCATGGGCCATCACTGGAATAATGCTGGATTTGAGCTAGAATTTGGGATCTATATCCTCCGGATGGACATTATTGAAAAGCCGTGATAGTGTTTGGGTTCCCCTGCAATAAGGATTAAAATGGTGAATGCCACAGAAATACATGAGCTAGAGCAAAAGAAGTGATAGGACACAGCAGGGACACACTGTCCATATATTGCCTGCATATCACAGAAGACAGGACATGGGATTTAGGAAGGAAAATATTGTCTCAACAGTGGTGGTAATTTCCAAAATCTTCCACTGAAGCATAGCAATACAAAGCTTCAGTCTTAGCTCTGGAGACAGTGTGGAGACACTTTCTCTTGGCACACTGACAGAGGGATGTAGCTTACAGAGGTGAATCCAAGGATATGTGACCATCTCCAATAGGAGACAGGCTGCTCCAAAGTCAACACCTTCCTCCTTAGTTACATTGTTCACACTCTTTCTTAACTTGTTTTGGGAAGGCTGTAGTTACATGGCCATCTGTTTTAATGAAATAAGAAAGAGGAGGAAGCATTATTTTGAGTAGGAGGACTTGTTTGTGTCTTTTTTTTTCAGTTTCCTACATCTTGCTCTCTGTCTCAACATTATTTAAGTTCCTTATGTCCTGTGATTCCTGCCCTGGATTAATTGTGGTTGTTTTGTCCTTTGTTATAATGCTCTCCCTTGTCCCAGCAGACCAGATACCAATCAGAACCAAGCAGATATCCCATTTCCACTTGGCTTTGATGTTATTTACTTGCCTCCAAGTACTGTTTTTTCTGAAGCAAGTATCTTGCATTACCTTGTTGAAAGAGAAACTATGCTTTTCCCATCTTTCCCTTCTGGTGTAGACATCCCATTCAGAAATCAATCAAGGTTTAATCAGGGTTCTCTGTTTGGCAAAAGAAGTGGCTGCAAAATGCTCAGTAGTAGTGAAAGTGCAGGAGGAAATTTTAAACATAGGCAATAGAGCTGGGCTAAGCTGGCCTTTGTATAACCTCCAGCTGGCCAGCTCTTCAAGTGCTGTGGCAGAAACATGGATCTGGTTTCCATTTTTGTTTTCCCCCTGAGAACTTATGTCTGAATGCTGTCAGCATGGAGTTTATACTGTAGCCCCATCAGTGGTGGCAGTAATACAGATCTTTCTCCCTTGTCCAACAGTGGTTTTCAGAAAAGTAGGAATGTGACATCTCTGAGGCTGTACTGCACTGTCTGGCTTTGCTCAAATAGGCTGGATTCAGAGGCTGAAGGACTGGGCAGACAGATTATGTAAATCTGTTTTTCCTAAGAAACTCAATTTAAAAGTACCAGAAAATGTTACTGCACGTACTTCTCCACTTAGGATAAGACTATGAGAATAAACATGATAAATACGAGTTATGGCTGTTATATGAGCTGTTCTGGCAGTGTCAGAGTGGTGGAATTTTTTGTCCAGTCTATCTAGGCATGTTTAGTTTTCCTCAGACTTTGGGAAAATACCATTCTGGATGATATATTATGATTATTGTCCTTATTAAATGATTTGAGGGCACATGTCTTCTGATCAGGAGGGTGGAAAGAAGGAGTCTTGATGTTGCCTGACTTTGGAGCCTTGCATGTTAGGAGAGTCCTCTGCCATAACATTTTATTTCATCAGGAAAGAGGGCTTTTCCAAAGAGGTATCCATAAGGTAAGTGAAATGGGCCTCTCCTAAGACCTCCTCATTAATGTAGGTGCCGAGACTGACATGTAAAATTTCTGGAAAAATATCTTTTTTGTCACTGACAGATTCATCAGCATGTTGGAAAGTTAAATCTGGCATTGGCAGATTAATTCTTTCAGCAGTATAATCTGGATTTCTTTTGACTTCTGCTGTCATAGCATTGACTCTAAAATAGCTTTAGAATTTAAAAAAAAAATCATCTTAATGAGTTTTTTCTCTAGTTTTTGTGGCAATGTTGAGTAAAGTCTAAGCCTTACCAGAAAAAAAAGTATATGTTTTTAGCATATGCAGTAGTTGAATAAAAGAAATATGGTTTTAAATGTCAGTGGTTATTTGTTTCAGAATGCTAGGAGATTAAGGAGACTGACATTTTAAATTTCTTCTTTACATTAGTGGAATCCTCAATAGTCCAAACATCCCAGGATACAATTATGAGAAAGTCTACTGGTAATTGATATATACATGGAAGGGAGAATTAATTCTTGTAATTAAGAACTCTGGTCCTTTCTCATCTATTAACGTAGTCATTTTATGTCACATAATAAAGTACACCCATAACTGAGTTCCCATGTGTGTCAACTAACAGAGGTTGAGCCGTTTGTCATAACAACCCATGTGGACAGGCATGCTGCTCATTAGCAGAGCATCCCTAATGGCTACATCCTGGAGTAGGTTTACATTTTAAAATAAACAGAGGGGCACTGGGTAACAGCTAACTATAACAATCCCCCAAAATAATCTGGGAACAACACTGTTGTGGAGACTAGCAACAGCAAACAAGCGTGCATTAATATTTTAGTTGAAATAGAAGAGCATTATTGGTTTTGCCTGTAGAAATTAAAAGCTGGTATTTAATAAACTCCCTTGATTTTCCATGGATTGGATATCTAGATACTGTCTAAAACCTTATGGGAAGTTTGTCCTTATATTTCAACCGTATTTCCTTTTTTTAGAGAGAGCAGAGGATATTGATGTGTTTTCTGGCATTTTATCTCCGAGTGGCCCCTAGAGCACTCCCCACCAGAAGGGCGTTCTGGCCAAGGAGATCTGTGCTCGTGATTCTTTCCATATGCCGCTGGCTCGTCCCGTCCCCGTGCTGAGCGGAATGATGTAATCAGAGTCACACATTGTGCAGAAATAACACTTCAGTCAGACTCTCTGGTTTGGACAAAGCAGCCAAAAGCTCTCTTCTTTACTAAGCCCACCTTACAAACAAGCGCCTTGGGAGTTCACAAATTCTGCACCCTTCTTGTAGCAAGAGAGAGGTTCCCATTTGCAATGGCCAGAAAGAAATTTCTGTGGGTTTGTTTTTGGGTATTTTTACACACAGCTAATGCCCCACTTTTAAAGACAAGTATGTTACCAATGTGCAGTAAGGTGTGGGATTTAACAGCGATTCTGTGGGTTTCACGGGGCAGATAATTACTGTCAAGCACATGCAGACATTCCAGAGCAATAGCAGCAACTAAGGAGAAACTAACAGGAGGCTTTCGAATAACAAATCTGTGACCTTTCTGCTGTTTTTTTATAAACTAGCAATCATGTAGCCTTCTGTTAGTCGCTGCTTATTAAAAAGTATTGGAGCATCCTATGGGACCCTTGCTGTTAGTATCCAGATAGTGCTTGATGTTGAACAATACAGATTGCAAGGTAAAAATAGATATGTGTAAATAATTAAACATGTGGATAATGATTTAACTAAAATGAATTCATATATGCCAAGGTGCAATAAAGCAAGTCTCCGTGCTTTCACCAGAAATTTATAGCATCTGTTTGACTCCCAGTAATCAACTAGCAATCACATTCAAAGAAAACTTAGGGGGGCTTTGTAAGACTGTGGAATAAAAGTTAGTATAAAAGAAGCTTGGAGGATGCTGATACACTGTCTCCTACAAAGAGGAAAAAGAAAGAAAAGGGAGGGTAGGAGGATGAATTTGATATCTGGAATATACATTATGTTAGTAAGTGAAATATCAAACCCTTATGCTGTTTTTATCTTCTACATATGTAGTGTTTAAAAATAGAAATTGTGCATGTCTGTGAAATTAAATGGCTAGCTGGATTTTGGAGAGCTCCGTTAATATGTAAATTGGTATAGAAGATAAATTGGTGCTGACGTTCTGTGGGAGCTACTGGGAGCTCAC